TTGCTCTTAAATAAATGAGTTTGATCCCCTGATAATCAATTTGACCCAAAATATATTTTTAAAGTCTGCTGTATTAGCAATATTGAGGTTTTGGTAAAGAGTTAAAAAGAGAAATTGATGTATATGTTTTAGTATACATATTTTTATATGTTTTTGTTTTACATTATATAACATGCATTTTAATCCTGTAGACCATGTGGAGCTGCAGAATCAATTAAACAAGATGAAAATATTGCAGTTAAATAAATCATGTAAAATGACTTACCAATAGTAGACATAAGTTATTTTTAGTGTGGCAAATAGCATAAATTGAGATCTGCAAAGTTCCTCTTGTCAATGTAAGTTGAATAGTGTGGCTGAGAATACACACCAGTGTGGAATCGCTTAATATCCTGCAATGATAAGCTAAACTTACTTTAGAATTTCAGAGTCTTTAAAAAAATGATTGATCATTTACGTGCCATCAAGTTCTTTTTGACTCCTAGAGACCATATAGGTAGATTTTTTCCCAGGACAATCTATACCTAACCTGGTCTTTCAGGTCTTCCAACAGTGCACTCATCACCATTTTAAGTGAGTCCATCCACCTTGCTGTTGGTCATCCTCTTCTTCTCTTTTCTTCCACCTTTCCTAGCCTTAGAGCCTTTTCCAGAGAACTGGGTTTTTGCATAATGTGTCCAAAGTGGGATAATTTGAGCCTGGTTATTTGTGCCTTGGGTGAGAACTCTGTTGATTTGTTTGATGGTCGATTTGTTTGTTTTCTTGGATGTCCATGGTAACATTTTAAAAATACTTTAATTAAAAAAAAGATATAATACTTTTAAAATAGTCTACTTCAGATAAAATATGATTGTGTCTCCCATCTATCATCTCTAACGTGGAACAGTCATCCTGTCAAATCCAGTTTGGGCAAATCCATATTATACCATATCTAAATAAATGGGAGGAATTAATCATAACTTCATTGATTTTTCTGGGTTTTCTTCTAAGGATGCTTGCATCTGAATTCAACCCATTTATCACCTGGCCATTTTTAGATTCTTTTAGTTAGGAATAAATAAATGGAAATGTGACATGCTACCAATCAAAGCCCTAGCCTATGAATCATATTTAGGTATATGGGCTATAGGCTCTTTTAGGACATAAAGATGCTGGGTGACTGACACCCAGTACTTCTGTTGGGAAGTCTGCCCAGTCCACCTACCACCCAAAAGGTAAAAGTCAACTCTGAGGGGGTGTTGGGGAACACTCTCAATTTGCCTTCAGGCCAATGGGTGTTTGCGAATGAATATACCTCATGGAGGTCATGTTCTATGGACAGGTAAGCCGCCATCATCATGACATATATTTCGCAAAAGCACCCATAGTTTGATTTTAAATATGCCCCTTAGCTCCAAAAATATTATCTACAAAAATAAGGCTTCTGGCAGACAGAAGACAGTTGATTAGCAAGTTTCTTTGAAGTTTCCCACAGTTCAAAAGAAAGAAGAAAGATCAGACATGCCTTTTGAAGGATGTTTAAACAGCAGCAGGCTGTGCTGTATTTTAACAGGAGAAAAAGAAGAGTCCTTTCTGACAAGGTAGTCTGGAGGATGAACTGCCTGCCTCTATCACAAAAGCCAGCAAAGCAGACATTGTGGCATCTGGGAGACTGGTAAGACCATCCTAAAATAAGGATAAGTGAAACAACTTTTTTTTAACCTATTAGGACCTGTAGCAGCTCTTCCTATTATATGAAGGCTGTAGAATTGTGTGTGACTTTCACAGGAATATGTGCTTGCAAATATTGATAACAACAAAACAATGCCCAGTATTTGCAGAAAATATTGGCTGGTGACCTTAAACATCCACTTTAATCCAGAGTTGGCTTACTTCCAAGTGAGAAGATGACAAAAACTAAGCCATGATTGATAGATTTTGAAATACCAATATTTTAAATAGATAGATATTGATAAATCTGTATGGGCACCCATCTCAACATTGTGACTCTGGATGGTGAACAGCAGTTAAAAGACATAAAATAACTGTAACAACAAAATGTAACATTATGAATGTAATATATCATTCTTATTTATATAGGAATCCAACAAATTTCTATTCAGGGTGCAACAGCAGGTGGCTATACAGAAATTTGTTCTGAACAGGATAACAGTTCCTTCTGAATCATAAACTCCCATTGTTGCCATTATAGTCCTTCTGAACCACAGTGCTATTTACTATGAAAAAAAATGAGTTAAAATATTTGAATATCCACTAGATAACAGGAAATAAGGCTGCACAAAAGCTTTTTTTTTTTAAATTGACATCTCTCCATTCCCATCGCCATACTATAAATATTTATGTGTTCACAGAGCCAAAGTTACAAGCAAAAATAAAGTACAGATTTAGTAAAGCAAGATCTCAAAGAAGAAAGTTTATATTATTTGGGAATTCTTTTGTTTCGAAACATGGAACTAATGAAGGGAAAATGTGATAGCATGAAATTATGCCTGCTGTGTAAAAAAAAACAAAAAACAAAACCCCCCTCTCAATTCAAGTTCATCCCCCCCCACCCCAAAATCATGGTGGGAGATTCAGAGATAAAAGTAGAACTGTGTGGATATTTAGATTTGAAGAGGTAAAGGTGATTCCGAGTACATATGAGCTCACACCATACCTATCTGTACTTCCTTAAGTCAAACATTCCTGTTGTGAAGTCCAGGAGAAGATTTGGCATCTTTAAGACATCTGGTTGGTCACTGAGGGAACAAAACTAGCTAATCCTGCACAGCTATTCCCATGTTCTTAAGGCTGAATAGGAAGAGCTAGGACCAGAAATACACTCCCCATCCATCAAAAATTCTGTGACCACTCATTCAGTTAAGGTGCTGTTCCTAGAAGGAGATAATCAACTGGAATGGAGCAAAGAGCCCACTGTAGACTCAGACAAACTACACCCAGCAGTGGCGGTTTTGGGCCAGAGTGGGGTGTATTGAAAGAATACAACCAAGCTCAGAGCACCCCAAGGACTCCACAGTTCAACCCTGAGCTACATATATTCTCTTTCAATAGAAGAGAATATATGTAGCTC